TTGATGTGGTATATTATACTGATTGATTTTTGTATGTCAAAACAAAATTTGTATTGTGAGAATTTGTATTGTGAGAATCAGTCATACTTGATTATGGTGTATAAACCTTTTAATATGTTGCCAAATTTGGTTTGCTCGTAGTTTGTTGAGGACTTTTGTATCAATATTCACAAGGAATATTGGCTTGTAGTTTTCTATTCTCTTTGTCTAATTAGCTTTGGTATTAGTAATAAATACCTTTGGGAATGCTTTAGGATGTGTCAATGTGTTCCCTCCTCTTTAATTTTTTAAAGATTTTGAGAAGTATTGGTATTGTCCTTCCCTCTCCACTTGGCAGAATTCACATACAAAGTCTGGTAAAAGCAAAAGGGTGTATAGAACTTTACATTGTTGGGAAGTATGCATAAATTTTTAATGAACTCACTATAGGCAAACAATTGTATTTTATTTCCCTGTGTTATAGGTATACTTTCATTTAATTCCGATGGTGAGGTATGTGTACTATTTTCCTAGTACTGCTGTCATAATAAATTATCACAAATATGGTAACTTTAAAAAGTTCACAATTGTGAAAATCAGAAGTCTCAAATCAAGGTGTCAGCAGAATTTTTTTTTTTTCTGGGGACAGTGAGAAAGAGACTATCCCATGCCTCCCCCCACTAACTCCAGGGTGTTCTTTGGGTCATAGATACCTTTCTCCAATCTCTGTGTATTTGTATACTCATATTGACTTCTTCTTTGTGTCCTTTTGTATCTCTTGTAAGGAAATTCTCATTAGATAGAGGACAGAGCTATCTCAGTATAGTTTCATCTTGTTCCTTATCTTAATACATTTTCAAAGATTTTATTTCCAAGTAACATTATATTCCAAGGTTACAGATAGACACAAATATTGGGGGAACCCAACCCACTATACTTCACTCTTCGCATTCTTAAAATTCATATACATGTTGATTTGGATGTGTACATTCATTTCATTACAGCATCCCTCCAAAACACATTTCAGTATCAACTCTAAATCCAAAATTTCATCTAAATATCATCAACTTGAAAAGTACTAAATCTCATCATCTAAACTGTCTAAATTAGGCATGATTGAGACTATGAATGTAGTCTATTTTAGGACAAGATTTCTTTCTGTATGTGGATCTGTGAAACTAAAAAGTAAATTATCTGCTCCCAAAATGAAGTGAAGAAAATGTACACAATAGATATTCCCATTCCATTAGGAAAAAAAAAATAAAATGAAAGGAGTAAAGGGTTTACTGATCCCAAATCCAGCCCTACAAATGTCATTTGGTTTTAAGGTCTGGGAATAATTCTCTGAGGCTTCATGATCCAGTCCTTGGGCTCTTCCGATGTTCTCACCCTGCAGGCCCCTCAGACCATTCTGCTCTCTTACCTCTCCATCCATGATTCTACAAGTTATTTTTCCCCCTTTTCTTCTTGAAGAGTAGTACATGTTTGTAGAAAAGTAACTCTATTAGTCCATTTTCTGCTTAAAGAACTTTGGGAGTCCTACAGCTTTTCATTTCATCCAGTTTTTTTCTTTTTTTTTTTTCCTGCCAAGATGGCAGTGTTTCTACTAATATAACATTGTCAAAAGTCTTATGTGTCTTCCGTGAATGTCAGGGGGTACATGCCATACGACCACAGGGTTCTTCACATCTCCTTCTTGGATAACCTCATTTCTATTTTTGGCTTCTGCTGAGATGGTTGACTGAAGCCATTAGTATCACACCTCATCTCTTCAGAAAATATTTTTTCTGCAATACTTGACCACTTCTTCATAGTATGCTTTAGTTGATATTTAGTTCTTGAAAACATATGTGAAGGGAAAGTGATTACGACACTTGGAGCGACCAAGAGATCTTTATTATGGCAGTGTCTGATTAACATGGAAGGAGGAGAAAAGAGAGAGAGGAAAGCACAAGAGGGGCTGGGAGAGCAAACTGCAAGAGAGAGAAAGAGAAGAAGAGAGGAAAGAGAAGAGAGAGAGAGTAAGAGAGAGTGAAAGCAGAGAAGAAAGAGAGCACAATAGAGGGGGGCCCGGCAGGAGAGAGTTTTTATAGCCAAAATTTAATGGGGTTTTTGGGTCTGCAAGCTACCTTGTTGGCATACAGTGATTGGATCGTACTGTAGTTGCTAAGGGTGTCATCTTCTGCCTTCAGGCAGATGCGGCAGGGTCAGATGTGGGTTTCCTTTGCACCAGACAGGTGGGGGTCCAGTGTTCAGCCTTGATTGGAGTTGAGTGTTCAGACTTGAGGCAAACAAGTGATAAGGAACCAGACGGGTGAGGGTCCAGTGTTCGCCCACCCTGCACCCAACATTTATTTAGCCTGCTCTGCAACTAACAATATGTATTTCTAAGGAGACAGCTTTGCTGTCTTCCTCTTTACATCTTTACAAGCCCTTCTCAGAATTGCCTTAATAACTCTATTTCTACCAACAGTCTCTTCTAGGCAATCTAGGCTGTTCTGTTTTAGGTGTCTATTAGAGTAACACCTCACTACCTGTTACCAAAATCTGCACTAATTTCCTAAGATCGCCATAAAAAATTACCACAACAGAAATTATTTTTTTTTACAATTTTGGAGGTCAAATATCTGAAATCAAGATGTCAGTAAGTCCATGTTCATTCTGAAGCCTTGAGGGAAGAGTCCTTCCTTGCCTTTCAGTTTCTGATGACTCCTGATATTCCTGATTCTGGCAGTATAATTCTAATCTTTGCCTCTATTTTCACTTATCCTCTTCTCTGTATCCCTGTGTGTTCTCCTCTGTCTTCTATGAGGACATTCTCATTAGATTTAGGCCCTCTCTAATCTAGTATGATCTCATTTTGATCCTTAACCTTAATTATACCTGCAAAGACTATTTCAGTATAAGGTCAATGATCTAAGGTTTCAGGAGGACATTAATTGTGTATGGGAGGATGGCACCACTTAACCTACTACAATCTCGTTTTAAGTAATTATATTATACATTTATAATTAAATATGTTGTATTTTATTCAAAACTTGTGAATAATTATTTTTATGAAGTTATTTCACAGGATAACTAATATCCTTAATGTTAATATTCATATTAGAGAGTGCTAAATAGGAAATCACTTGTCAGACTTCATAATATATTTTGAAATAAGGGGTATTAGGAATATTGTATATGTGCATATGTGTATTGACACATATGATTAAACAGCATTAAATTTCTGTTGACTTAAAGTTAAGTTTGTTCCTCAGTATTTATTCACATCAATGTAGTAAGATCCTAAATTACTATTTTTTTAGGACAGTGGTGGTCTCCAGTTGATTGGAATGAGTGAGTGAAATTAGATTTCCTTGAGATTTTTTGGTGATTCAAATTGGAATCAAATGTTTAGTGAGTTTTTCAATATTTAAATAATGAATTGCAAAAATATAATTGAAGTGTATTTACTTGAATCTTCCAGTTAGGTGAGATTGTTAAAATCATGCATAATGTTTGTAATAGAAGAAAGCATATATTTAAGCAAACTGCTGTTACAAGGACAACTCATTTTTAAAGGTCCTAATATAAGAGGGGAAAATGTGGTCGCTTCATAAGGGGAAGAGTAAGACTAAAACAAATTTTGGAGTTGATCTAGTAATCCACTACTAGAGTGGAAATGGCATATGTCTGTAATCCCAGCTATGCAAGAGATTGAGACAGTAAGATTCCAAGTGTGAGTCTGCCCTTGGCAATTTAGCAAGACCCTGTCTCAAAAAAAAAAAAAAAAAAAATGCTGTGGATATAATGGAGCTCAGTGGTAGAGTGCCCCTGGGTTCAATTCCCATTGCCTCAAAAAGGAAAAAAAAAAAAAAAAAAATATATATATATATATATATATATATATATATAGTGTGTGTGTGTATATGAAATCCATTATCAAAGAGAGAGAGGATAAATCAACAGAAATGAGGAATATCAGAAAAGTGAAGGGCACAAAAGAAAGGCCAAAGAGAGGATAAAAGGAAACCTCTAAGGAAAGCAGAAAATGAGGTATAGTACAATTAAAATATTAGAATTTATTTCAACTTCAGTCAAATTAATGATAATTACTGGAGTCAACATATTCTTGGTATTATTCACTAAAGTCAAGCTGCTCATGTTATTTTGCTAGAAGAAAATAGTAAGAAACATTTAACATTATTTCAGCTTTAAATAAATATTTTATTATTAAGAATATTTTCATGCATCATATATATTATGTAAGGCATATGCAGTCATATATACTTAAAAGTAAATATTATTATGTTACCTTCTTTTGAAAGCAGAAATTTGGTTTTGGTGTGGACACTGAAAAAAATATAAAACAAACTATTTAACAATTTAAATAGAAGTGGAGATAAAGCATTTTCTTATAAGCGCTGATGTAATATAGTTGAATGTGAGGTAGGTTTTGACATTTGAGTCAGTGTCAAACGTAATATAATGTTTGCCTTTGTCTGATTATGACTGGTGATCAGATTTTTCTGCAATGTCATGTGTAGTCTTCATATTCAGTAAGGATCTGACTAATCAGTCTTACATATTAGTATTATAAACTACTTCTCTATTACCTGTTCGTTCTCAAAATTAATCTCATATCATACTGACCTGTAGAAGTAAATGTTTATATCCTCTTGATTGTTTGCTTGTAAATTGTCAAAGTCTAGAAGAGATTGATATATCAGAGGTGTCTATGGTTACCTTGTCATCTTCTTTAATTCTTTGACCACAGTTCTTTCTATGTGGATTGATATCTTATAATTTGTTGTTACCCAATTATTTTCTTCTTATACTCAAACTCTCTGGTGGATAATGGACTTTAATATATTTTTTTAATTGAAGTGTCATTGAATATCCAAGCCCAAAATCCCATTGACCCACTAAGATGCACTGTAAACAGTTAACTGAGAAACCTTTAATTGAATAACATATTAATTCAGCTCTATCTGGGTCAGAGAACTTTTACTTAATAAAATTTTAATTTCCTGCTTTAGGAATCTTGAAACCATGTATCACCCACATATGCTTTGAGATATTCTTTAGATTTCTTCCTGGAAGCCCTACAACTACCCTAAAATTGAATGTATTGTAGAACAGACGTATGGTAAGTGGGGTTTTTCCCCCTCCTTTTTCTTCTGTCTGTTTTATGTTCCAGTTAAGTTTTATGGCTGTTGTAATGCTGCTCCCTACTGGACACAAGGTAATTTTTTAAAGTTGGCACTTAATAGATGAGCAAAGAACTGGTTATAACAGGACCCATGAAGGAACTCTTTGCTATATTCACACACACAAAAAACACAACAGTATACAATGAAAACAACTCTCTTATAATAATAGTGCCATACCACTACCATCATATTGATAATCTATCTAGAGCCTGATGATGGTGTTGATAGTCTTGTTTCCAAATTTCATTGTCTGCTTTCATTTTAGTGTCATCTAAGTTATAGCAAACATAATTGAAAAATTCTTGTAGGTGGTGGGCATTAATAGGATTTTCGAAACTGCACGTACTTTTTTGTTATGCAAGTCAGTTGATGATATCTATTTTAATAATTTCAACTTCTTGTGCTTTTGTTTTTCTAAAGAAAATATTTAAAATTGCTTCTGTGTAATGTACATTAGAACATATTGTTTCAATTTTGAATGAATCAACCTATCTTGCAATTTGTACAGTGAACTTTAACTTGTTTTATGTATCTACCCCATAATCCAGCTATAATGTTTTCTAGTACACACAATGATCCATGTGGAACATGGGTTGGACTTCAAATCTGATGTCTGTGACTGACTGATTATGGACTCTTCCATTGTGTATACATATGCAAGTGCTCCCAATATTGATTTTAAGCATGAGAGTTAAAAGAGCAATTCTTCTTACTTTCAAGCTAATTATTCAATATTTTTTTAGAGTGAAACCTATGTAAAATTATTACCTGGATATAATTTAGAACTTTTCAAATGTTTAAAATGAGAAAAATGACAGAAGCAACAATGAGCAAATAATTAAATATCAAGAAGGATAACTGTTTTGGGGCTGGAGCTGTAGCTCAGTGGTAAAAGTGCATGTGTGAGGCACTGGGTTTGATCCTCAGCACCATATAAAAATAAATAAAGATACTGTGTGTTCTTCTACAACTAAAAAGTGTTAAAAAAAGAAGGATAATGTTCTTATACTTTTGGTTTTGGGGGGGTTTGGTAGTACTGTGAACTGAACCCAGCTTATTAATGCTTTTTTATTTTTATTTTTTATTTTGAAACAGGGTCTGGCTAAGTTGCTTAGTTCCTGACTAGGTTGCTGAGGCAGGCCTCGAACTTGCAATCCTCCTGCATCAGTCTCCTAAGACACTGGGATTACAAGCATGGGCCACCATGCCCAGATCCCTGTTCTTACACTCTTTAAAGCCATTTTTTTCTTCTTTCTTTCTTTTATTTTTTTTTTCTTTTTTCTTTTTTTTTTGCCATTGCAAAAGCCTGTGAAATTGTTCTTAATTAAGATTGTGGAAAATCAGGCACAGTAACTCAGTTCTTTCTTATTTAAATATTGCAATAAAATTAGAAATATAGGCCAAGAAAGTAAAATTGTTAGCAAAAAGAGGAATCTTCCTACCTGAAGGAACATATTATTGTTTTTCAGAAAGTATATCATTCCAAACTTTCTATTATAAAATACAAGATGGTATAGAAATATATATACATAATATGAAGAATAATTATCTTTGTTAACCATCCACATAGCCACAGAGATAGAGTCACTTGAACAGGACATTTAGCAAACTGGGGTTAGAAACCAGATCATCCTGTCTAATGGGAGTTACAACTTAAAGTTGTAATTAAACTTTAAATATTGCAATAAAAATTTTTAGAAATATAGTAGAATCAGGACTTTTTTCTGAATTTCCTAGTCATTTAATTGGAAGTTTGCCCAACTAGCTTTTAGAAATGATCAAGATCTTAATAACCAATGATCATACTAATGATCCTTTATATCCCAGAAACATTTGATATATATAAAGTCTTCCCTTTCTGTAGAAGTAACTCAACTTTGCATTTTGTGGTAATCATTTTCATAATTTTTATGTAATTTTAACACTTTCCTATGTATTCCCAAACAACATGTTTACATTTTGCCTCTAGCTGATTATTGTGAAATTTTAGGTTTTTTCTTCTTTTGCTCAACATTTTATTTTGAAGAGTCATCCATGTAGCTTTATTTCATTCATTTTCATTATTATATATTATTTCTTTCAGTAAATATGCCTAACTTTATTTAGTCATTCTATTGGTAGATAATTGAGTTGTGTCTACTGTTTGGATTTTATAAATGGTATGCTGTAAACATTCTTTAAAAAATACCCTGGTTACATATCAATTTTTTAAAAATTTGTCAGATAACAAGTAATTTATTTTTAGATTGGAAAATAATATCAGGGAAATTGATTACAGTGATATTTTAAGTGAATTTAAATGACTACATGAGAAACTTGTTTTATTTTGACAGTACCAAATGTTAAATGTTGGAAAGGATTCTGCAGTAGTTATTAACTTTTTTATTGTAGTCCTTAGATATATGGTGAAGAGACAAAGTTTGAGATAATTTAATATAAAATGTATATAGGTAGATATAGAAGTAGTATGGATTTATATATATATATATATAATTTAATATAAAATGTATATAGGTAGATATAGAAGTAGTATAGATTTATATATATGACCTAATGAAGTAACTGTGTGTTTCACTTTATTAGCACACTCATTCTGTTTTCTAAAATATCATATTTTCTATAATTCCTTAACTAAGGAGGGCTAGAAGAGATGGAGTCACTTGAATAGGACATTTAGCAAACTGGGGCTAGAAACCAAATCAACCTGTCTAGTGGGAGTTACAACTTAAAGTAAATAAAGTAAAATCAGGACTTTTTCTTGAATTTCCTAGTTATTTAATTGGAAATTTGCCCATCTAGCTTTTAAAAATAATCAAATATTCTTTTGGCTATTAACCAAGATCTGGCTTGGCACAGGCAGTTGTATGCTGAATAACCTCTAAAATGATAATGAACCCATTATGGTTCATCTTCCAAAAGCAAGCCATAGTATATGCTAATTTTAAATAAGAAATTTTACTTTATTTCCTCATTCATTGGGGAAATTTAATTGGCATATTCCTCACCTGTTATTTTTCTGGGTAATTGAATTTTACCCTTATGTGTGCTCAATTTGTTTTATATGAATATTTTTCTAAAATATACAATTTATATCTGTTTTCTAAAACTGAAATAAATTTCAGGTTTTTAAAAAATGGCTCAATATTGTCATTATGAACATCAAGCATTTTACAGAATTAAAATGATTTCCTCAGAAACCATTATGTCCTATCAGATGCCTACAAAATTGTCCTGTATGGATAAGCTTTTTATCTGGGGTGCTATTTGTAATGGGTTTTTTGTTTGTTTTATCTTACCTTTGTTAGGTAATTCTTGCCATTTGTTGTTAGTGCATTGTGTTGATTTATATTTAAAGACAAAACATTTGCCTAACATTATACATTACTTAGGTGAAACTTTAAGTATGGTTTTTGTCCCATCTACTAACTGAATGAGTAGAATGTGTGGCAACTTTTAAAAAATTTTCTTTAGGGTCATCCACTTTGTTTCAGGGTATTCAGATAACCTCACAATTGATTTCTGAATGACTGAAATGCAAAATACATTGCTTATGTATTGTTGTATCCTTATTGAAGGAGTAAAGATTTTCATTTACATGTTTTCTGATAAAAACAGTTATATTGAAACTATTTACTTAAGGATTCCTTCAAATAGGAGGAGTATCAGTAGATATGTTTGTTTTCTTGTTACTTTGTTAGGATGAAAACTGAAATAAAAATAATGTTTTAGGTGACACTGATTAATGAAAATGGCAATCATAAGATTAACTAGCCCTTGAAATTACAACTTTTAAAGAAAACTATAGAAGTAACAAAGATTTGATTTGATGAAAACACAAATATTTCAGAAAAATATTTTTGAAAGTGATATGCATTTGATTGCATTCACAATTGTAAACAATTGAATATGAATTTTAAAAAAACTGTAGTAGGGAATATATTTATTTTTAGAGCACAAGAGATATTGGTTAGAAAAGTAGACAGTTGCTATCCTAGCACATTAAGCATCAACATTGATTTACTGTGCTGATGAAAGTTTTTTAAATTTGAAAATTTATTTGCTTTTAAATTTACTAAGCCAACAAATTTTACAGATATGTTTGAGAAAAAAATGAATAAAGAGCTTCAGTTAGTCCTTGAAAGCTGCCTAAATGTGTTTTAGAGGCTCATCGAGAGGAAATAGCTTTTTCCATGCTACATCTGAGATGCATAGTTAGTGGAAATACAAAATGACACAACTCCCATGGAAAGCAAATTGGCAATTTCTAGGAAAAAAAAAAACACATTTACCTTTTTCACGAGTTTTGAGAATTACCTGTATACTTGTATATTTACAAAATGGCATCTGTTTAGGAGTTTTCATTGTAACATTGTTTGAAGTCGCAAAAGATTGGAAACACCCCTAATGTCTATCAGTAGGATACTAGTTAAATGAACTATGTTGTATCTATACAGTGAAATACTCTACAAATCAACACAAAGTGGGGATGTTTTCTATATGAAGATTTGGAAAGCTTCCCTAATATATTGTTATTTGGAAAAAGCAGAGTTCAAAAAGAGTAAAGTATTTTTTTATGTAAATCAGGAAGGAGATTAAAATATATGTTTGTATTTGGTATATTTGCATAAAGAAAAATCTGAAAAAGTACACAATATCTAAAACCTGTGTAAGGACAGAGAGGAAAATGGGATAGATGGAGCTTCTACTGCACATCTTTTAGATGAGTTTTAATTTTGGAATATGGTGTTACTAATTAACAAGTTTTATTTATAAACCAATGAAAGTAGAAGAAAGGATAAACCAGCTATATTTAAAAAAAATATTTATTTTTTAGTTGTAGTTGGATACAATATCTTCAGTTAATTTATTTATTTTTATGTGGTGCTGAGGATCGAACCTAGGGCCTTAAGGTAACATGCTAGGTGAGCGCTCTACC